CTGGGACCAATCGTAAGTGGAAAAAGCATTCATGCAAAACAAATGTTGAACCAATAGCAGAATCTTCTTTAATCAGTAACAAAATGAGGCCAAAACAAGTAGAGCAGAGACCATTTTATTCATTCCATTCTGTGATGAAGTGAAGGAAGAACAGAGGCAAGCAGGAGGAGGAAGAGATGATGGCAAGGGAAAGTAAGGGATCAGAGTGAAGCAAAGGAAGAGAAAACTGAAGAATTAGAAGACAGAGAATGAACTGAAAACAGAGGAGAACTAGATGCATGTGAAAAGTGGAAGAAGAATGGGAGAGAAAAGCTTAATCATGGTTAACTGGATGCATCCATCCATTGCCTGTATATGTCTCATATGTTAGGCCTGTGTGAAGCAGCTAGTATTCACTTCAGATTTGGATTCGGATGATTTGGGGAACAGCGATTCAATTTAGTGATTCAAATCACTGTCCTGAATTGATTTAGCCAAATCTGACTTGGAGATTCGGCCACTGCCAAATCGGCCGAATCTCCAAATCAAATAGGCCACATCCCCTGCCCGCTCTCCCAGCCCCATCAATGGCTACTTTGCCCGGCCCCAGCCTCCTGGCTCTTTAAAAAAAAAAAGCCCAGCACTCACTGGCTGCTGCCAGGCAGCGGGGGGTGCTCCCTGCTGCCCCCCACTGCCCCGTGCTGCGTTGGGACTCTGCCACGAGCCCACAGAAGTCCCAATTGCCACTGCAGCAGCCAGTGAGTGGAGGCTTTTTTTTTTTTTTTTAAAGAACTGGGAGCTGGGTCCAGGTGGGGCAGCCATGGTGCAGGGGGGGAGGGAGGCTGAGAGAGCAGGCAGGGGTTGGGGGGCACTCAGGGAGGCTGGGGGAACAGGCAAGGGATGGAGGCCCCCTATGGTCCCCTCCCTCCTCCTCCAGTGCCCCCTCCTCTGCCACCTACTTACCAGCATGGAGTCAAGGTCCAGCTCCCTGCAGCAGCCAGTGGGGACTGCCTAAATCTCTGAAGCTCTCCTAATTCTTTCTGAATTGATTTGGAGAGCTTTGAATTGATTCAGACCTTTTTATTGGTCTCCTGATTCAATTTCGATTCAGAGATTCAGCTGCCGAATCAGGTCGAATCTCCTCCGAATCAAATCAGCACCCAAAGCTTTGCTTAGCCCTTCTATATGTCCATTTCTAAGAGAGGCAAGATGTGAGTGAAAGGCAGATGCTCTACAGTAGCTAAGGTGGGGCGAATGGTGCAGCATCCCCAGATGCTGACTTAAGAAGACATGGAAAAATAACAATTGCTGCTGCAGCAGCTGTGCAGCCACTCCAGCAGCATTGGCCGACAGAAGTAGTTGCTGACTGTGCATCACTATTGTCCCAGGCATCCAGCTGCCCTTTTATACCTCTGGGCAGATGAGGGTGCCCAGCATAGGGTGGGCTATTCAGTACTGTGGAACATAGGATGGGAGATGAAGGACCTTTTGGAAAAATCTGCTTATTCTGCAGCTGTACGGCAGCAGCAATACAGCTGAATAGTTTTAACATGGGTACAGTGACCCTGGAAGAATGTATAACTAACAACCCTCCTCTGTATTTGTCTATATCTGCAGATTTACACTGTCATGCTATTATGAAATTAGAACATAATTTCAACATTCAGACCCCTAAAACTTTACAAAGCTTTGCAACTCACAGAGCTGGCCCTCAGATACTTGCCTCTTGAAGGCAGTTGATTAAGGTAAAACCTTGTCGGCCTTGCTTACCCAGTACTTCCAGGGATGAAGCTAAAGTGGATGAAGGCCACTTTTGCTTCTTAATAGTGTTTGAAGCATTTTAACTAAAGAGTTTTAACTCCACAACTGCAGTGAAAAAACTTTCCAGAGTGTCTCCACTGGACAAGCTCTAAGTGAGAAGTGAATAGAATCTGCTGAGCAACAGCATCCTGCTCTTATTGATAATGGGCTCAATGATCTAACACAGCGGAGCTCAATCCTTGGCTCACAGGCCATATACAGCCTGTGAAGCAGCAGCATCTGGCCTGCAAGGTTCCCCATAAAACTAGAAATTTGGTGGCAGGGGAGTGGTGGCAGTGTTAATTGTCACTCCCCTGCTGCCAGATTTTGGTACCCATGGGGAGCCCCATGGGCTGGATACTGTTCACCAGCCAGATCTGGTCATTTGGGGTCAGGCCAGCATGCACTCACTTCTGGCATGTGGGGTTGGGCTGGTGGGCAACGAAATCTGGGCACATGGGGTTGTACCTGGGAGCTAACCCCATGCACCAACCTTACAAGGGATCTAGCCTGTGGACTGACCCTACACCACTCATACAGCTCACAGTGTCAGAAGTTTGGGCATTGCTGATCTAATAGATCTTTTCTGTTATTAGGTACTATGATCCAATGAAGATTTACTGTTATCAGTAGATTGGGAATGAATAAGTTTCTCAGTAGATCAGTGATCAGTAGATTAGGAATGAATATACCCCTTTTCCTCACAAAGTTATTCATTTGCATTATAGTAGTTTTACATTCCAGAGTGTAGCAAGTGGAGCCGATCAAAGGTACATTTCTGCTGAATGGGGAAAGTTAGACCTCTCGGGTGGTTTGGCTGGCCTGCCGGAGACTGTCTGAATAATTATCAGGCTTCAGGCAATAAGCATCAATCAACTGTTGTTATATTATGGCATTGAGATGGTATCAATAACCTCCACTATGAGTTGTGGGTCTCCTGGAACCTAGAAAAAACAAGGGAAAAAATAACTGAGTGTGGAATAAAAGTCTAAAGAAGAAATAAAAAATAAAAGGGATAAATTGGAAGGTACTGATGCTGCAATGAACACTAAAATCTTATATTATCACTGATGGTTATATTAGTACAAAGAAAGAATTTGGGGAGAGGCAGATAGCTAAAAGAAGTAAAAAATACCCACCTCATTCACACTTGGTATTTATAAAGCTTTTATCAAACAAAATGCAAAGATCATATGTAAAATATTCTAAAACTGTTATCACTGAAGTCATTGACAAAACTGGCCATTGAGTGAGATCAGGCCTCAAATAAATATTGTATAATCACATAGGATGATGAGGTTCACACGCAGTACTCCCTAATGAGGGTGTACTATACAAAAGAGAAAGAAAACAATGGATTCAAATGGAGTTGCAATGAAGCTATAAATGCATGTATGCCCTTTTCTTTAGCATTAACTATTCTACCTACCTACTTTAGGTAGCTCTTTATATTACGCTGCTTTTTAAACAAAATGTGTTCCCCCAATATAAATACCAAAGTGTCTAAAAGGTTTTCCCCCAGGTCTGAATGAAATGCAGAATTCAGATTTCATTTTAACTAATTTTTAACTGAATTTGAATCTCTTGAATGATTCCTGAATTTGAGTCCCTTGAATCTCTGGAATCATTCCTCCATACCAGGAGGAGGAGATAGATCTGGATTTTTCCAGAGAACTGATGGAGGGTGCATGTTCAAGGGACATGGTTGCCATGGGTGACCTCAATTTCCCTGACATGCTGGAGGAGCACCTGGCCAGATCTGACCAGTCATGTAGGTTTTTGACCTGTGTGGAAGAACTTTATTTAGTACAAGAGGTGAATGGGCTGAGCAGGGGGAAGGCTTTGTTGGATTGGGTTCTAGCCAAAGGGGACAACCTGGGGGGAGATCTGAGGATTGAGGGTAATCTGGGAGATAGTGATCACGAGGTGATAGAATTTACTATCCATTTTAGGGCAGGGAAGTCAGCCAGTAGGGCAGAGAGGCTTGACTTCAGGAAGGCTGTCTTCAATGAGCTTAGGAACATAGTGGGAGAGACCCTATGGGAAGAGGGACTGGAGGGGAAGGGAGTTCAGGAAGGGTGATTGTTCCTCAAAGGAGTGATCCTCAGAGCATAGAAAAGGTCCATTTCTGTATGCAGGAATGATGGTAAAGGGGCCGGGAAGCCCTCTTGGCTTACCAGAGGAGTCAAAGAGTGCTTCAAAAGAAAAAAGGAGGCTTACAGACAGTGGAAACAATAGATAATCACCAAGGAGGAATACACAAGTAAAGCCTGTATTTGTAGGGAGAGGATAAGGAAGGCAAGGGCAGCAACAGAGATCAGGTTGGCAACCGAAATCAAGGACAATAAGAAGTCCTTCTTTAGGTATATAGGGAGCATGAGGAAGACAAAGGGAAATGCAGGGCCCTTGCAGAATGGACAACTGATGACAGACAGTCAGGAGAATGCTGAACTCTTTAACGAATACTTTGCATCAGTGTTCCTGCATACAAATGGGGGTTGCCCATCTGGTCAGATACTGGACAGATGTGGGGGGTTGCGGGGTTGGCGATTGCCAATCAATGGTCAGTGTCAAACTGATAAGGGAGCACTTAGAGCGGCTGAATGTTTTTAAGTCAGCAGGACTGATGGACTACATCCAAGAGTGCTGAGGGAATTGGCTGGAGTCATTGCAGGATCATTGGCCAGGGTATTTGAAGACTCATGGTGCTCGGGAGAGGTCCCAAAAGACTGGAAGACTGGAAAAGGGCTGATGTGGTGGCAATCCTCAAGAAGGGAAGGAGGGAGGATCTGGAAAACTATAGGCATGTCAGTTTGACCTTGATTTTGGAAAAAATTATCAAGAAGCCCATTTGTGAGAGGCTGGCAGAAGGCATGATGCTGAAGGATAGCCAACATGGTTTCATTGTGGGCAGGTCCTGTTCAACATCCTTATCAATGATTTAGATGAGGATGTGAAAAGCACACTGGCCCAGTTTAAGGACAATACTTAGTTGTGGGGAAAAGTGGTCATGCTAGGGGATAGGATGCAGATCCAGACTGTCACAGAGCACTGAGGTGCCCTGTGTCTGAAGAGGGGAAAACTGCTAGGGAAGGAGCCTTAGCAGTGACTAAGGAGCCCAGCTGTGGGTTGCCAGGGCAACCAATGAAGGCCAGCTGACCGGAAGGGGCCAGGCCTGGCTCCCTTTATAAACCCAAGGAGCTGAGGCCAGGGGCAGTTCCCTGCCAGCAGCCAGAGAGGTAGGAGCTTCCTAAGCCATGATGCGAAGAGAAGCCTAACTGCAGGTACAGCTTGACCTGAGTTGAGCAATGTTGTTGTAGCCAGGCAGCTTCTGTTTGAGTTATAACCAGGAGGCTTGAGTTTGTGTTGCTGTTTGTTAAAAACCGGTGGTTTGGGTGAGGCTATAAGGGGATGGAGGAGGCCTCATAGGGGACTCACAGTGGAGTGTGAGTGCCCCAGTGCCAGCGGGCACAGCACATGGGTTGCAGAGACCCCAGCCCCAGAGAGGGGCATTTGAGAAGCCCAAGTGTGGGCATGGTGAGCCCCAGGGAGGGGAGCGCATTATTGAGAAGGCCAAGTGTGGGCACAGAGAGCCCCAGAAAGGGAGTCACATTATTGGGAAGCCCAAGTTGGGCACTGTGAGCCCCAGATAGGGGGCAGTATTATTGAGAAGCCCAAGTTTGGGCACTGGGAGCCCCTGATAGGGGGCCGCATTGCGGGGAAGCCCAAGTTGGGCACCGTAAAGCCCCAGGAGGGGGCAGCACTGTAGATAAAACCCCAGAGAAGAGGGCACAGAGCGAGAGAGGGCCGGAGGGAGCCCTAGCACCAGAAGGAGCGTGCATCAAAGGAAGGAAGGCCCAGGGAGAACAGGAAGGGGCCAAGATTAGGATAGACCTGAGATAACAACGATTTTGATCGACGAGGTGTGGACTGCGGTGTAGGGGAGGAAGCGGAGCTGCAGATAGCGCCCTCTAGTGGCGGGGCAGTATAAAGGCAGCCTCCCGCTAATTCATACCAATTAATTAATTAAGATCAAGGCATGGCGGACGAGTAGGCGGGCGGTTGCCCCAGAGACAGGTGTGTGGGCCACATTGAGGGCGGCACAGAGTGATGACCTGTCACAGTGGTGCATTGGCTGGGAATGTAAGGCCGTGCACAGGTAAGGAACCTGTATTCCCGAGTGGGGGAGATGAACCCTAGGGCTGAAACAGAAACCGAGAAAGATATATAGAAAGGCAACAGCTGTGGGTTGCCAGGGCAACCAATGAAGGGAGTTAACATTGGCGAGGTATGGACTGCGGTGTAGGGGAGGAAGCGGAGCCACAGATAGCGCCCCCTAGCAGCGGGGCAGTATAAGGGCAGCCTCCTGCTGATTAACACTAATTAATTAAGACCAAGGCGTGGCAGGCGAGTAGGTGGGCGGTTGCCCCAGGGACAGGTGTGCGGGCCACATTGAGGGCGGCTCAGAGTGACGACCTGTCACACAAACAGATCTGGATAAGCTGGAAAGGTAGGCAGAGCGGAACCGGATGCAGTTCAATAAGGATAAATGCAGAGTGCTTCATCTGGAGACAAGTAACCAGTGACATGAATATAGGTTAGGAGGAGATGTCCTGGCTAACATGATTGCTGAAAGGGACCTCAGGGTTATGGCTTATCACAGGATGAACATGAGCTGCCAGTGCAACGCTGTAGTCAACAGAGCTAATAGTGTACTGGGATGCATTAGATGATGCGTCACAAGTAGGGCTAAGGAAGTGATACTTCCTCTCTACTCAGCATTGGTGAGACCCCAGCTGGAGTACTGTGTCCAGTTCTGGGCATCGCACTTCAAAAAAGATGTGGAGAATCTTGAAAGGGTCCAGAGAAGGGCCATACGAATGATTAATAGCCTGGAGGACAAACCTTATGAGGAAGGACTAAGGGATCTGGGACTGTTCAGCCTGGGAAAGAGAAGACTGAGGGGGAACTTGATGGCCATCTATAAGTATGTAAGGGGTGAATATCAGGAGCTAGGAGAAAAACTTCACTAGGGTGCCCCAGAGGAGGACAAGGAGCAATGGACATAATCTGTTAGGGGATGGTTTCAGGTTGGATGCAAGGAAAAAACTTTTTTATGGTAAGGGTGACCAGAATCTGGGATAGACTTCCCAAGGAGGTGGGGCACTGCCCAGCCTTGGAAGTCTTCAAGAGGAGACTGGACAGACACCTTGCTGGGATCATTTGATCTCAGCAGTATTTCTGCCCAGAGCAGGGGGGTTAGACTCAATGATATTCTGAGGCCACTTCCAGCCCTTAATTTCGATGATTCTATGACTGTATGAATGATTTTTTATTGGTGGTATTTTTGCTAGGCACTGTGGGCACCTATACACATGATGGACCTCTGCTCTGATGTGTGCTAATTAGATTATTTGAGTCTGCTGCAAGTCTGCTGGAGAGTGCTAATTAGTGTGCTCCAGCAACCTCCATATCACGTGTATTCAGCATCCCCAAATTTCAAAATGGTGGCGGGGGTACTTTAAGTAAAGCTTGTCAAAAGTGCCCCCTGTGCTTTTTTGAAGCATGGGACACTGAATACACGTGATACTGCAGGTGCTTTAATTAGAGGCTCTCTCAGAGCCATTTTAATTAAAGCGCCTCTCCTCCCTCCAGGACGAAGAAGAAAGAAAACCACTTCAATTTACTTGGTTTGGGAGGATGGTTTGGGATATGAATCTCACATTATGACTTTCCTGGATCAAATGGTTTAAGAGCTACAAACAGCACAAGGCTAATGTGGATTGAATATTCTTACAAGACAAGCTAAACAAAAGTTAGATGCTGAGTTTCATTTAAGTTTGAAATTAAAAGGCTTTCCATTCTCCACCACTTTGCAGGAGCTATATACAGTACCACCTTCACTTCTCAAGCTGTGAAATTAGTATGTTGGGGAATTGGGCTTTCTGCCTGACCTTAATCAGTGTGTGTCTGGATTTAACCAGACTTTCAAAGAATGATTCTTGCAGTTGTAGCAATCTAGGTTGCACTTGACAGCTCTCCCATTGCAAATCAGCACAAGACAAATCCACCAGGCCACGCGTTGTTTAGTACCTCTGATTAGTTGTGCAAAATCAGGTCTCTAGTTTGGCACGAGGAGCAAAAATATTTCCTTACAGTCGATTATTGTTTGTTTAGTGGCAGGCTGTTTGGGGGACTTTAAACAAGGTCTCTCCCATCACAATCTGCTTGCCAAAACTGCAATTAACCACCATGCTTGGGGAAAAAATAGCATTTCCTTTCTATTCCTATCTTTCTCTGTGGTTCAAAACAGGTGCTAGCTTAGTGGTACCCACCTGAAAAGGGTAGAAAACATATTGCAGTTGCAAAACAGCCAGGATACAGTGGCTCAGACAAGGTACCATGAAATACAATCAGTATCTAAATGAATAATTCAACTACAAGGCAGCACCTCAGTTTTTCAGCACATCTTATACTATTAAGGTTATTTCCCAAATCTTGTGTTTAAAAAATAATAGCCCATGAGTAAATGAGTACTAGCAATCTCTTTCTTCATTCACATGCAGCTAGCTCCAGCTCTGCAACTATAACCCACAACACATGTCTGAAAAGTATTAGGCCAACAAGACATAGGTGACTGGTAGGGGGTGCATGGGGGTGCACGTGCCCCCCCCCTCCGACATGGCTGGTGCCCCCCCTGACGGCCAACACTGATGCTGTTGGTAGGGCTGGTGCTCCCCTGACAGGGTCAGTGGCTTCTGTGGGTGCCCCCCCAGGTTCAGGAGGCACCAGTCACTCATGCAACCAGACGTAAAGGATGGATATAAAATTGCACTGCATTTTAAAACTTGCCTAAGTCTAGACCAGTGATGCATTCAGTCCAATAAAAGATGTCACCCACAAAAACCCTTGCCTTTCACATGGATTGGTAGACATTTCTGATCTTGTTCTCACTAGGATGTGTGGAAAGAGAAACGTTCTGGCTAAAAACAAAAATGATCTGATTTACTGAAACTTTTACAATCAGAGCTGGAGATGCAAAATATCACTCATTCATAGATTTTCAACCCTTCCTTCCCTAATTCCCTATCATTTCTTTAAGAAATTACAAAACAATAAAAGTGCCTTTGCTATACACAAAATGATCACTAAAAGCCTGATCATTTCTAGAAGTGCATATACAGGATTGGTCTTAACCTTTAATGCTTTCAGTATGAAGAGCCAGCCCAAAATTTTTTTAATTAAACTTTTTCCCTTATTCAACAATGCCAATGTGTAAAAAAGTTTTATTACTTGGAATATTGAACAGGGTGATGGTAGAGACACATCCCAGAAAAGCTAAAGGCCCTACAGTTTCTCCACACCAGTCAAAACAGGACTTAAATCTATGTATCCCACATTCCAGGTGAGTGCACTAACTTCTGAATTACTGGGTCTTGTGTTTGAGGGGCTTGGTCTCCCTCCCTCTCATCTATTTTTTTTTTTTTAAAATGTCCAAAGGTTCTGATTTCATTCTGACATGGAATTAAAAGAATTTTTCAGTATGTCTATGTTTCTTAAGAAGTAAAATTGTTTTCCAGCCAGCTTTGCTTCATTGTGTCCTCTATGCTTCAGAGATTACGTCACCTCTATGTCTGCCATTGGACTGTCATCCCAGATAGACAAGCTATCCTCTTTAAAGGAAAAGGCAGAAAGACCTCATTTTTATGAGGTCTACAGGTTGTTGTGGAACTTGCTTCTTGCCTTGACTTATCAAAGTCCAGATCTGGTGACCATCAACACATGCTGCCTGTCTGACTCTCTCCCTTGAAATCATTGGAGTCTCATTGGAGTAGTTCAAAATAGGAATACATGTACCTACATGCAGTCTTTCCTGCTCATGAGCAGAGGCCTGGACCTGGTAATCTGTAAGGTCCCTTCCAGCCCCTAACAGCTATGAAACAGCTATGGTACAAGGGTATTTTACTTCTAAATTCATTCATGCTTGAAAGGTACTTAGGGAGCCTAGGACAAAAGATGTTATACTGTGACAGTGGAAAGTAATCCCTCACTATATGCCCACAGCATTGAACATATTGCATGAGCAAATCCACATTTTGCCTTCTCAGTTACCTTTGGTATTTTCTTACTGTGTGCGTTACTTAAAAGAGTAGTGTTATAGTGGTGGTGGTGTTGCTGTAATGATCCAGGAAATATAAAAGATATTACCTCACCTCACAAATCGTACTTTAAGAGAACATTTTCTCTCTTAGTACCATTAGGGCTAGGTACAGACATTCAAAAAGCCCAAGGCAAAATCAATCCAAGTTATGTGGTTAAGCAACGTAGTTAAATCAGCAGTAAACAGAACACACATTTTGGGGGTGGGGCAAATCTTAGACTGGGTTCCACCATTTTTAAACCCGTCTATGTTTGCCAAACTTCTGTTCTGTTACAGGTATAGACCAGTTTCCAATCACTTATACTTGTAAAAGTGTAATGTCAGTTCCTGGCCTGGGAGTCTTAGGACTGACCTTTCCTCTGTGTCACCTGATGCAATATTATTTCCAGTGTTTGTTGTAATCTGGATGTATGATTGAATTGTTTGACTATCTTTGGAGGGTGAATGTGAAAAATCATAGGACCATAGCCTAATCTTATAAGGAATGAGAAAAAAAAGAACCTTTGCTTTAATTTTAATTTTTTTGTAGTTTGGACAGAGCAACCATAGAAATCCAGGCCCCTCTTTATTCTTATTCTGTATATATGTTACCATGATAACGAACGATGGCATTTCTGACTCTCGCTCTCTCAAGAGTTCTCTATAACACAACAGTCTAAGTGCAGCGCAAGTGTAAAAGGTAAAGGCACTTAATGGACTTTTTCTTTATAAATAAATAAATAAATGGATAAAGCACAGCTTATTCTAAAGAGCCACATTCAGATGTGTCAAACCATATTTAATGTGGATATGATCCACATTAGAGACACAAAAAAAAAATTCCTGCCCTGTATTAAAAACAATGATAGGCATATTCCAAGCAAGAATAAATGGAGGGTTTCAGGCCAGTCAGAGGCTGGGTTCACATGATACTGTCAAGGTCCCAGATTTATGGTTGACAGTGTTAGTGCCAAGGCTGCTATTTATGTTGCTTTAATCAGTCACACTTTTAAAATCACCTAAGCTCAGCATTTATATCAATGAGGTGATAATATTGCTGTCAGGCACCAATATCGATAGTTGTGTCATAATCTAAACTCTTTTAATCTTTTCCTATGCTTGCATTAATGAGTTTGGAAAAAAACAAGGATGGCTCTCATTATGACGAGTGGCACTGGAAGATACTGTGCAGTACTGTGCACACAGAAAAAACAGCCTTTTTTTGTCTTTGCAAACCATTTTAATTTGCCTTTGGCCTTCTCTCTTTCTGTCTGTCTTTGAAGACACTGTCAGCACATCCCACTGATTTTCTCACAGGCTACTTATGGCTCTTAAAATATTTTTAGGATTGCTGTAAGTGTGAGGCAGGTAACCTCTTTGCTAACTGGTGGGAAGGAAAAAAAAAAAGAAACTTCAGTCTAATTTTGGTGAGAGGCGGAATAATCGTGCTTGTCTTTCTTTTTTTTTTTTTCTCCCTGAGCCCACCCTTAAAGCTGTCAGCCTCTGTTCTTTTCATATTGTAAATAAAGTCTTTCTTGGGTTATAGCTTTAAGCAATTTTTTTAATTAAAATTCAATTCAAATATGAAAGTCAAAGAAACTTTCAAAGCAAAATCTACAAACTGATTCATTCAAAGAGTCTGTTTTCATTGCCATAGCTACAGATTACTATGAAGAAACTTGAACCAGACCTTTGACACCTAAGAAGGTCAAAAGTCATTTCTGTCTGTGCTAGGGCTCTTTTGACAACTTCCTGTATAATTTGACTGTTATTTGCGTGTCTGGTCACCGTCTGACCCCAAAGTCTGGAAAAAATTGAAACGCAGCATATATCTCTGTTTCATATGGAGCCCTCAGAAAAGGGGCTTTTAATTACTTTTTGGTGAGAAACCTCTGCATATAGGCTAGTGCAGACAGCAGCTGGGGAGCTTCCCAGAGTCTTGCAAGTTAAGGATCAGCTAGCATTGCATTACCATAATTCAGCACATACAAGCTGCCAGACATTGTTCTGTCTGAAACAAAAAACATCAGGTGGCAGCACCATTGTCTACCGAGCTCTGGCCCTAGCTCTAGCTTTTGTCAGCCAAAAATACTACCAGGTTGCCATAGCAGGATTGCCAAATACTTCCCTACCCTAGCACACTTCCTAAGATGGAAGTGGCTGAAAAAGGGTTCTGCTGATTTTTATGCTCACTAAAGGCTCCCCATTACTACGTATAATGCCTGTTCTTTTTGTTTTGCACGCCATGGGTAACTGCATGTAATTATGTATCTAAGCAGTGTAGATTAAATGTTTCTTAAAAACAGAGAAGAGCAGTAAAAATAATGACACTGCCTCAAGTAATGGGGATCATGGAGGTAAGAGCTCCAGGTTTGGGGGTCTCTAAAAGTTGACATTGGCCTAAGACAAACCCTCTGTTGGAATCTGTTTATTCTCTCTTTGTCATCAGAAGACCTGGTTTTCTCCTCATCATTTGACCTAAGAGGCTGCATTGCTACCTGCACCTGCTTTTAAAGACACCCAAGGACATCAGCAGAAGCCTGAGTCATTTATTAAGCAGCATTCTTTCACATGTAGTTCCTGCAGGTAGCTTCTCTCAACATGTTGGCTAACTACCTTTAGGTCAGCACGCTGTGCAAACTGTGCCTGGTACACTGAGAATTGCTCTTTGTTGTCTCTTATATGGCTCTAGTTTGGAAATGTATACAGCCATATGGGAGATTTACATTCAACCATGCAACCATTAGACAAAAACTGTCCAAGTAATCATTCATTGTCCATTTGAAGCATAAAGTAGCAGCCACTGAAACATCAGTCACTGCTAGGAACAGGATGCAGGGTGTGGTAGACCAGCAGTCTGATTCAGTATGGCCAAGTTCATCCCCTGATGTAGACTATGCAATAGCCAATATACCTGTCTTCTGAACAAAGATAGGCTAGGAAAGAAAGTTAAGCATACATAAATGAAGAATCAAAAAAGAATCCAACACAGGTCTTCTATTCACTAGCATTTTCTACAAACCACCTGGCTTAAGGCTCATAAAATTTCATAAAATTACATAGGAAGAAAAAAAGCTTGGCTTTTGTATGTTATTTTTTTCATTCAGTTAATGATGCACTTCTGTTTGTCCAGAAATAGAGGCATGCTCAAATCAATAACTGAACAGAGTCCATTCAAGAGGCACTGTCTATGCATCAGAACCAAGCACAATGTCTGTGTAGTGCTGAGAGCTTCTGAATACAGTGGGTGGAGAGTCCAAGAGATAGTGGTTATTTGTTTATTTGTTATATTTTTGTTACTTCCTCTACACATGAATTTAATGCAACATAATAAACTCCAGAGCAGTTTGGGCTGGAGTTAATTGCTCCCGGGCACATTGTTTACATGTGCACCTGGGACAGTGGGAATTTGAGCTAGGGAGCAGCGGGCCCCTGGCTGGCTGGGCTGACCAAGCACAATTAAAACACCTGGTAGGTGTCTACACATGCGTTTTGGTGCAGTAAAATACTCCGCTGTAAAATCATATTGTCCCCAACAGTATTATCCAATGACAGAGATAATTAGTTTACTGCACCCTGATACCGGCACACACACAGAGTATGATGCTTTATTGTGGAGCTAATTAGTCAATTCCTCAGTAAAGCACACATGCAGATGCATCTCCACCAGAGTGCTATATGGCTAGGGACAGAAGTTACACATAAACTGGTATACGTGATCAGAAACCAGTACAAATCTGTTACACAACAGAAGTTCAGTGCACATAAACCACTTTCAAAATGGCCAAAACAAGTTTAAGATGAACCTGGATGGATGCAGTGTTAGATTTAACTGATTTAAGTAAATCAATTTCTTGAACTTCTGTCCCAGATCCCCTCCAGATTCAAGTTAATTCACAGTCCTTCAGCATTTCAGGATGCTTTGCACCTTCCCACAAACCCTCCCTCGCAGGGTGGGCAGGCTAGCTTGGCCCAGGCTGTCTGCTCCAGCTGAGGAGATAGGAATGCTCTAGCATACCCCCACCCCTGCTTCTGGCCTGGGCCACTGCAGGCATGTGGCTGCATTTCCAAAATCAAAAGTGAATGTCTGTTCCCTTGCTTATTGATTCAATCTATGCAGTTTAGACTAATCTGCAAGGATTGAATCGATTCAGCCTTGGGCTTTTTGACTTTCTGCACTTAGCCTGGAAGTGCACAGGGCTTTACAAGTGAATTAAATGTGGAGTTGATGTCCTGAAGAACTAAGGGTCTGAATCACTTCTGTCTTTCAGCAGTTACATCTACATAACTGCAAAAACGGAAACAGAGGATGATCAGTTCCTTAAAATATCCTTGCAATGAGTTCAAAGGGACAGCTTGTGGAATAAAGTAATATTCTATTTGATAGTTGCAATTTGGACTCCCATACAAGAGATGAGCTAACAAAGATGTGAAGGGGGACAGGGAGGTGAGGGTGGGGCTTCTGAAGTTGCTAGTGCCCTTATCATAAGGCCTAGTCAGTCTTTTTGTTCTCTTGTATACAGATTTAATTTTATTGGTGAAGGGAATGACATTTCTGTTGTGGAAGCCAGAAAGAAAAAAACCCCCCAAAAACTTAGGATGGAATAAAAAAATATCAGAGCAACTTTTGAGAGTAGCTCATTGGGACTGCCCCTCTATCCAGGCTGTGTATTAGTGGGGACATAAAGGTGTTTGTAGACCCAATTCCCCACCTGACCATTCCTTTGGGTGCAACTGGCCTCGAGCAATAAGAAAAAGGAGAAAAATTAGAGAAATGTAAATAAGGAAGGTAACTTGCCATTTGTCACTTGAAAGTCCTTATTTCATGGCCTGTTCCCTGTACTCCTGGAATTTTGTGTCATTATCTTCTGTTAAAAGGATTCAAATGACATTATTTGCATGGAAACTCGCATACAAATGATGTCGTCTGTGCCACAAAGTTGCATTACAATGAAGGGAATGATGACTGTGTCACATGTACGTGACATTCTTTGTGTCATTAAATTTAAAGTCAATGCTGGCAGTTATAAACCACTCACGTCTCAAGCAAATACATCACTTCTGATCTGAAATGAATATTTTAAAACGCCAACTCCAACTGCATCAAACAGCAATAACCTGCAATGTCATAGGAAAAAAAGCAAAGATTCTAAACAAAGGTGGACTTATGGGAGTATATGATATGCAGCAAAGCAAAATATTTTAATAAGCTGTAATAATCTCCAGATAAACAGAATCCTGGAGACATTTTTAAAGTCAATTTAACATCATGTATTTTCAGGAACTATTATGTGAATAGATAGATTCTTGATTGCTAATTTCAGGCAGCCTGAATGAATAAATTGTATAGCAGAGATCTGGCACAGACCTTTATGTACATCGTTACCATACATTTTCTTGCCAAAGTCTGGCACTGTCAATAGGCCAGGCTTTTGAAGAATTTCCAAGCACTTCAGTGGGTTCAAGGGCAAACGGAGACAGAGGAGGCTCAAGCAGTTGGCACTTAAAAATAAAAATAAAAATAAAAGGAAGAGATGGGGAACAGCCAGTGGAATAAAAAAAGGTGCCATGCCATTGTGGTGATCAGAGACCAGAACTAGGATGGTATTATGGTTCATCTGTTGCTTGGATAGGTTGGTCATATTTAAGGTAAGAGGCAGTGTTTCCATTAGCAGTTATAATTTTGCTCTTACTAATCTGCATGAGACTTGCTTGCTTCAAATCTAACTCCTAGTGCTCTTCCTTAAATAGAGTAATACTGAACAATTCCTTTCAAAATTTACTGTTTTAACAGCAGAATGTGCTGTCAGACCTTCTAAAAGTTACAGGTATAATTTAAAAACCTCAGCTAAATAACTCTATGGCATTGTCTTGCAGGAAAAAAACCCAAACCCAACACCCCTACAAGATTTGTAAGAACAAGTATCTCTGGAGTGTGTAACTCCATAAGGCTCAGTAAATGATCAGGCAGAAAGGAAAAAAAATTGTGCAAAGATCATTTTCCCCCTCTTATTGATACCATTTCAAATCTAATTGAAACATCCTTTTCAAAAAGTCGTGCTAGCCACCCCTTCAGCTTTGATATGGCTTTTTAATCAGAGGGCATTGTTATTTCACAATGAACATGGAAAGCATTTAAAATATTTTCTAGATGGCGTGCATTACTTGTGACCCCAGCCAAAAGACCACATTAAAAGGACTTCAATAGAATTCACTCTTTTAGAGTCTTCTGGGCTCTGAAGCATTGGTGCACATGTGGAATATGCTAAGAGATGGATCTGTCTAGATACCAGGATTTAAGCAATGAACTAGCTTTAAAAGAATGAGAAAATCAGGGCTGGTTGGAAGATTTTATCTTTCTATAAAGAGATTTGATGCAAATATAGCTTCTATCCTAGGAAACATTCTGGACCGGGTAAGCCTGCTGGAGAGCAATCCTGCCTAAGTTAGGGACAGTACATACATACACAGTCCCAAGAGCAGGGCTGTGACTGCCATTTCTCCGAGGGTGACAGTCTGGTTCCCATTTCCCTCCTTCTCCAAGAGAAAGAAGCATGCATCAACCATTTACAGGCAGAGATTGCTGCTGTCCCCCTCACCCTGTGGTTGGGGCTAGCACAAGGAGGGGTCTGAGAGCCGGAATCAAGACCCCCTCCCACTGCCAGTTCATTACACATTTCCATAAAGCAAGCGAGCATTTAAGTTGTGCCTACTCTTACTCGTTCCCATGCTATAAATGCCTAGGATGTGTAGGCCACATATAGGCTAGGAGAGTCTTACAACCCCGTACTGACGTGTGTTGTGCATCGTCTCATGACTGAGCCCTTAATGCCTAGCTTTGCTATATCTTGGGATACAGTTCTTGTTTGCAAACAGAGTGAAGAGGCAAGAGGTTTAAAGCAGTATAGGACCAAACTAGCACATCGGGTCAAAGTTGTTTCACCCTTTTGCCCTAGTTTGTCTGAGGATTTTCTAAATTGTATTTTCCTCAGGTACATTCAATTACAAAACTGATAGGAATACATCATGTTTAATTAGTTTAAGATAAAAAATGGTCAGGTTAAAATGACTGGATCTTACTGAAACTGAAGCACAAAGTGGGTGTATCTATCTGTATTTTAGGGGACTTTAATGTAATCTTAATTATAAAAACAGATATTGGTGAGATACATTGCCTGTGAAGTGACAGAAGAAATGCTTTGGCTGCTCTTTGATGTAGAGTTCAGCTGTTCTGGTTTGTAAATATAACAGAATGAAAGGATATTGTACTCAACCCACTTCAATCAAGCAAGACACTCTGGCATCTAAACTGCTGTTCTTCTATTGCTTGTGCTGTTACTCAGAACAAAGAGAGGGGGAAAAAAAGTCTCCTACATCTTTAATAATTAGCAAAGAGCTGCAGTATTTAGCCTGGAAATTATGGTACATATGCTGTCCACTTGTTCAGGACCCCTGTATCGTGAGAACAAGCAAACATTCATCATCTGCAGATGTCCTCCAGGCCCAGGTGACTGAAAATTCAATGCACAGTGCTTCTCACAATGGGTCGAATGCTAATTGGGTGGCTTGAGGAGATTAGAGTAGCCCT